CGCCGCCGCCGCCGCCGCCNCCGCCGCTGCCGCCGCTGCCGCCGCCACTGCAAGGGGTATTGGAAAGGGGGCGGGTGGTGGGCACCGCAGGGTGGTGGCGGGATGATGGGGTGTGCTTCCGGGGTCAATGGGAACATGTGCGGCATGTACGGCATGGTGGTCCTGTGCGCAGGTACGGCATCTTGGGGCATCTTGATGGCTTGACGGGAGACCAAGGGGCGGGTGCCCGAAGTGAGTGATCGCTGAAAGGATTTCATCATTTGTATGGGCGGGCGGGCGGGCGGGCTGTGGCGGCTTGTAGAGCCCGACTTACCGCCTTAACCCCCGATAATACGAGCTCTTCGGGCGCGACCTTGTGTTTGGGGGGAATCCATAATCCGGTTAAAGTCCGGTTAAGATCCGGTTAAAATCCGGTGGCATCACTTATGGTTTCCTAACTGGCTGCATCCTCCTTTGCAGGTTAGCGGCCCCCTAGACGTTAAAGCTCCTGGTTGGATGATGCAGCCCGGTTTGCAAGAGGACCTTACCACATACTACCCGGTAGAGATACCTCTAATGGGAGGCAGAACCCGGCCCCCGTGTATAGCCGTGCAGCCGCCGGCGCACCATTAAGCGCGAGAGGGGCCCCGGGATGAGTTCCCCAAGAGCATCACGACCTGCAGTCAACACACCCATCCGCATGATATATCCGAAGAAAGGGGCTAACGCGCGAGGGTGGTCTTGTCTTGCTGTTTGTGGAGGAAAAAGGATATTATGCCGGCTTGCGGCTAGCTGGGCCACTACTGAAGCCGCAGCCAGATTTACTGTCGGTATTGAGTTGCTGAGTGTTTTTCTGTTAAGGTTGCTGTTTTGTTTGTTGTTTGTTGGTATTGGGGTTGTAATTTTTATTTATCTTCTTCTTCTGTGAAAAGGAAAAGTTGGTCTCGCCGCGATTGCAACGTCCTTTATCCAGAGATGAGGCCTTGCCATGCGCAGGGACCCGTCAAAGGGCGTTTTTTTGGTTGAGCACAATTATAGAACTCGTATTTATATCTCTGGATGGTTTCACCGAATCGATGGTTTCACCGAACTGTAAAACCCTAAGTTGTCGTGAAATTGAGAGCCAATATGTGTATCTCCCACTTCGTACGATTTCAGTCACTGGGAGGTAAGCGTGCGTGGCGATGATTGGTCTATTGGGTATTGGTGTTGGGTTGCTGTGACGCGACGCCGTGGTGGAGGCGTCTTGCTGTGGGGGGGCTGCGGCAAGTAAGCAATAGCGGTGTTGCATGGACTCTCTCTGGACTCTCGCTTTTTACTGTCACGACTTGAAAGCTGAAGGTTGCCTGCAATCGTCGGCGGGCGAACCCTCGTGTCGCTTTGCTCTTTTATTTTTGCGCCGGCCGTTCCGCGGTGTTGTTTTTCATTGGCTTGGCTTCACCTCAGCTGCTAGCTCCTGCGCGCCTTCCGCGTTTAATCTCTTTTAGTCGGACAACGCACCGAAAACCACTCGCGTAACAGTACAATAACAGCAGATATTGATACTCGTCTTAATACTTCATTGTGGACTTCCCTTTGACCTGAAATTTTGCTTTACGTAATAAGCATAGACATGGCATAGAGATGCTTACTAATGCTTTGGGTTGCTACGATGGCGCTGTATTCGGTCGTCTAATGAGGACTTTTGTGGTCGGTTGTGGAGATCATCTTTTAAGTGTTATTTAATTGCAATTCTGTTTTGTCCGATTATAGGAAGCAGAAGGTTGACTTACTTTCCGTGCTTGACAAGCAGCAGTCGTGGTCAGCGATTACGCACAGCTTCCAAAACTATTTTGGGGTTTCTGCGATAAAGCGCTGCTATTGTAGACCGTATGTTTGGCGGACGGGTGCGCACGTTTTGGCGGACAGATGCCATATTTAAGCAGCCCCTCGCACAATTGTGTCCGGTCGTACTGTGCCGAATAAACCGTTCGTACAAGACGCCCAAAAGCCAGGCGCGAAATTTACCGCGCGGATGCACGCGTGCGATTCTCAAAATGCGCGTGTACAAGTGTATGTCTTTTTTTGGCGAAAGGCCGCGGTGTGCCAGCGCGCTGCGCAGTAGGGCATGTTGGCCACAGTCGCACACGGCAAGCAGGCCCGGAGGAATGGGTGGCTGTTTTGACGTAACTGAAAGCATACAATTTTGCTTGCACGACTGGGCTCATGAAACGGCCGCGGGAAGAGGAAGCGTCTGGCGAAGCGGCACTTTTCGTAGTAGTAGCAGTAGTAGCAGTAGCAGGGTGGTAGAGGGCCATGGGGGCCATAAAAACGGATCGTGGCCTCGATGCCATCTGTTCTGGAGGACAGCTCTTTGGGGGGAATGAAGTCAGCCTTAAATTGGCATCGTGCCTTTCCGGTCTTCTTCTTCTTCGTCGCCATCCTTGCCTTGCCTTCACCCTCCTTGGTGCACCCGACAGCTTCCACAAGCTTCACGAAACAGTCCACATACAATCGCTGAGTAGTAGTTGCCGATAGATAAATCCCTAGGGTGGATACAAATTCAAGTAGCTTACGGGTGGCTTTACGGGTTTTGGAGCTCTAATTTCTTTGCAGTGTACGGCATTCATCACGGTATCCATCAATCAGAGAGAACGCCGCGGTCTTTTTAAAAGTAAAACCGTGTCACTCGAGGACGTGTATCTGTATGCAAGTACGTATGCATATGAACACATATACGTGTAGTCAGAAGTGGTGGCCTCTTTTACCTGGCTTCGCTATATCCTGACATGTACGACTGTACTGCAAGCAGAAGTACGCATCAAGCAATTTTCCCAACATTCCACCCCACACACCCCCAAAGGCGCACATTCGACACGGACGAATACAACCACCACCGCCGTCGAGGCCAAAAAAGTACTACACAAGTGTTTGCGCTTCTGGAGGAGGGCAGAAGACCGTACTAAAGCCGTACTTTTGCTGTACATATTCGCGTATCCTAGGATACATCGCGCAAGCGATCTACCCACGGACCACTAAAACCTGAGCGCGACGACCTGAGCGCGACGGAAGCGCGCCTTTTATCTATTAATGAAGAGGTGGCTGTCTGACATAAGCAGGGCCTACAGATTTTATTTTCAATTAATAATGCCAACAACAAACAAAAGGCAAAAACGCGAAAACCATGCGCGCAGGGCTTCAAAATAACAAAATCGGACCGCGGGCATGAAGCCGCGGCCTACATGTACGTCAGCTGCAATGACAACTATGTTATGTAAAGAGTATTTGAAACCCACATCGCGCGTCCTTGTTTGCCTTGCGGACTAGTACGACAGCACAGCACTTCTCAGCCGGTAAAGACACCTACGTACGACATGTACGACGTCCGAGTGGACACGGAGTACGGATGTTGCTGAAACCCTCGGGGCCCCCGATGTGGAGGCCCCTCCTCGACCGGGCAACCCCTTAACGACCCGAAGACGGCTCTGCATGCAGCTCCTTCTCTTCATATGGCCGGTACGGCACATGACGTAATCGCCTTCTAATTCTCAACTACCCGAGCATATCACATCGTCATGCTGATGTGGTGCGGTTGCGTGCGTCTGGACGTTGTCTGACGACGTTTGCGTCCGCACGCGGTTGCGTGCGTCTGGACGGGCGTCGGGGTGATAGATCGATCGAGTTTCCGAGAATCCGACAGAACAACAAAAAATAAGAGTTAATGAAAGGGCCATTATGAAACGATTAAGGCAACGGAATAACAACAACAAAAATAAACGCGTGTCAATACTCAACAATGAAATCCCGCGGAAAAGAGATCGAGAGGTAATATATTTGAAAAGAGACTAAATTGATATTTATGTACCAACAGAGCCAACGGCTTCCAACTGCTTTCCCAACCGTTTTTGGGGTTCCGACCTTTCGATCCGAAAAACAAAAACGACACGCTGTTGAAGTATATAGGGGAGATGGATGGATGACACAAGCATACATATACTGTTGATGGCAAAACCGTGTCTCACATCACCGTGCAATGATTATTACTTATTGCACATCGTTTCTTCAACACTACATTGTACGACACTGTACTATATTGTACGACACACGTCCTGCCTAAGCGTGTTGTCAACAAAGCGTCAAATGCTCCGCTGCGGCCAACTTAAGGTGGATCCATTTTCGCGGCCCCTCAGACGTAACCCCCCTGTCTTTGTGATGTGTATGTATGTATGTATGTGTGTGTTTTCACGGCAATACGGCCTCCCCAGTCCCTACATCCCCTCCCATCGCATGGATCTCATGGATGCAGGACATATGAAACGGTGGAGATAATCATCCAACCACCGCGCCACTCCACACTTGCTTCCGTACAAACGCTCCGGCTCCCGTACGGCAGTTCAAGGCTTTCCTCTCCCATGCAGTCAGGAAACTTTCGAAGCCGGCAGGCCCTTCCGTCGTGTTGGGGCGCGTGTGTGTGTTTTACCCTCGCGCGTCGTCGCCGAAACCCCAATATCCCCCCCAGCTAGACTGCAAATGCTCGAATGTATGCGAATATGTACGTATATATGTATGTATGTATGTATGTCAGGCCGATTAAAACTGTTTCACTAGGAACAACGGACAGTCCACGACAACAATGACATCATGCGTGGCGACAGCCGCCCCGGGTCGCCTACACCGCCCCCTCAGCACGACTAACTGACGAACAGCACTGACTAACTGACGCTGATCGAACTTATTTTGGTACTTATCGTACATTAGTCAGTCGCTCAATTTTTGCCGTACATTCAGTTTTCCAATTGTCCAACCCTAACACCCAACCTGCAAAAGCTAACGAGCCTACAAAAGTAAACTTTTTATAAATTTGCAAGCAAGCAAGATGCAAAAAAATGCAGATACGACCTCAATTTATGTTTCATAACTGCAACCACTAACCACCAACCACCAACCACCAACCCGCGGATCTTCTCCCTCTCTCATCATCTAACCGCCCCGTCTCGTCTCTTCCGCCACGTCCATACAACCAACTTCCGCTCGGCGGCTGCACCATCACCTTCCCTCCTCCGAAACCATCACCTTCACGCGCATTACACTTCTTCCCCCTCCCCCTCCCCCTCCTGCTCCTCCCCCACCTCAAAAAGGTACTCACCCAAACTGCCCAAGTCAGGCAGCGGAGGCAGTGGCTCACCAAATGGAATCGCCGTACCGGCGGCGGCGGCGGCGCCGCCGCCGTCACACGCGCGGGAACTAGCAAACGGTGAGGACATGTACGACACTGCAGCAAAATGCCGTTGGGCCGTCAGATCGGTCTCTGAGGCTGCTGAGTCTCCGCGGCCGGCGCCGCCGCCATTTCCCACTCTTCGGACGTCCGCCGCCGCGGCGTCAACGCTGAAGCTGCCGTCGCCGCCGCCGCCGCCCTCATCCTCGCTAGCCGTTGCGACTGCCGCCTCCTTCAGGCGCCCCGACTCTGACTTAATGAACAAGGTGGCCTGTCTCCCGCCACTATCATCCGCGTGTACCACATCCATGTACGATGCTGTGGCGGCGGCGGCGGCTGCGGCGGCCGCCGCCGCCGCCGCCGCCCAGGCCTCCTCCGCCTCCCCACCCATACACTCCAGCTGCTCCATAACCGCATCCTCCAGCTCGTCCTGCTCGTCCGCAACGTCCGGCATTACCTCATCAAACGTACCTGAAGTGTACGGCAACACGGCCGTGCTGCCGTCAGCGCTACTAGCCTGTGCAGTATTGGTGTTGCCGCCCGCCGCGAGCGGCAGCATCGTCTCGAGCGCAGCCCACGGGTTTAGACATCTTGCAAAATTCGATCCTCCGACGCCGCCGGCATCGGTGGCGTCGGCGTCGGCGTCGGCGGACGCGCCGATATTGGTAGTGGCGACAGTGGCGGCGACCACGCCGTCGGCCACAGCAGCGACCACACCCTGCGATGCAACCTCCTCCAGGTCACTGACGTCAACACTGAGCGAAGGCTGTGGTACGGCACATTGTACGGCAGTAAGCGGATCAGCTGCGAACTGATCAGCATCCGTACGGCCCTTTTGGCCGAGCATTGACGTTGGAGGCTGGAATGGCGGCAGACGCAGCGGGAGACCCTGGACAGTGTCTGCTGCTGCTGCCGCTGCCGCTGCTGCTGCTGCTGCTGCCGCTGCCGCTGGTGCTGCTGCCAGATCAGCTTTCGCCAGCGCTGGCGGGATCTGCGGTCCTGATAAAATACCGATGCCGCCACCGGTGCCGCCACCGCCGGTGGAGGCGCCAGCGCCGCCGGCGGAGGCGGCGGTGTACGGCGGAACCCACCACTCAGTGTAAGGGAATGCCCCCGGAGGACACATTGCAGTGGCAACGACAGGCGGTGTCGTACCATTTGCCGTCGCCGCTACCACCCGCACTGGCGATGGCGGCCAGTTTGTGCCGGCGGCACCGCCAGCGACGGCGGCGGCGGCAGCGGCGGCAGCAGAAGCGGCGGAAGGAGCGGCGGCGTCAAGCGCTACTTCGTTCGTATTTTCCGTCAAACACTCCCCAGGGGGAAATCCAACGGTGTGTACGGTACGGTGCGCAGGGTCGAAGGCAGCAGCTTCCACGGAGAATCCCGGACTGGCGGAAATGACAGACCCGTGGGTCAGTACTGCACCCGGCCGGCACGGCTCTGCGACGTCCATAACCGTGTCCAATCCTAGGGCAGCATTCGCCGACGGCCCAAACGCATTTAGGGCTCCAGAACCAATCTCGCCAACGCTGCCGTACATTATGCCGCCGACGCTCGGGGCTACGTCGCGGCCGGCGGCTTGAGGGACCGGGCCGCGTAACGACGGCTGCATTGGCGGTGGCGGCGGCGCCGCCGCCGCCATTGCCTCCCCGTCCGCTGCCTCTTGAAACAGTTGTACGATCGTACGCCATCGCTGACCCGAACTGGTGGTGGCGGAACTGCGAAGAGCCGAGTGAACCCCGAACAGTTCTTGTTGTTGTTGTTGTTGCTGCTGCTGCTGCTGCTGCTGCTCCGGTGGCTGTAGCTGTAGCAGAGGCGGCAGCGACAGCGGTTGCGACGATGTACGGCACTGTTGTACGACCGGCGGAGCCGACCACCGCGACGGCAGTGCAGTCAGTCCCGCCGGCACCGGACCGCAACTGCTACTGCCAGTGCTACTGCTACCAACAGCTCCGAAAGCAGATCCAAGTTGCCGTACTAACTGCGGGGCCAGCGGGGGCGGCGGCGGGGGAGGCATCTGCGCCAGCGGCAGCTGTGCGCCGTACCTCCGTGGCTGCGACGCGGCATCCGACGTGTCCCCAACCGACGGCGCCGCCGCTGCCGCTGCGGCAGCCGCCAGCCAGGACTCCAAGGTACACGACACGGGAGGTTGCTCCCCAGCCGCTGTCCCCGTCCCCGCCGCCGCCGCCGCCATGCCTTCCGGCGGCGGTGGCGGCTGCCCTTGATATCCCGGCGTGAAAGTCAGCTGCGGCGGCGGCGGCAGAGGCAGCGATTGCGCCCTGCACCGTGCGAAGCTCTCTATGCTTCGTATGACATCACCCGCGCGGTAGCGCGACGAAATGCTGCTCTGCCGCTGCAGACCCACTCCGCCACCGCCGTCACCGTCACCGCCGCCGCCGCCGCCAGCCCTTGCCATTATCTCGTCCCAGGGGGCCGTCGACCCCGCTGGGACCGCCTGAGGATGTTGTACGGCCCAGCTCGATGGGGGACACAGGGCAGGGCCATCAGCCGACGCCGCCGCTGCGGCGGGAGCGGCGGCGCCACCGCCACCGCCGCCGCCGCCCAGCAGAGCCAGTGTGGACTGGACAGGGTTGCGCTGCAACGGCGACGACGGCGGCAGAGAGGACGACGGCGGCAGCGCAGCAGCAGCAGCAGCGGCGGCGGCGGCGCAGGAAGACGCTCCGGAACCCAACGGCACGTGCAATTTCAGCGGCGGCGCCATAGCAGCGACAGGTCCCGCGGGCTCTGCAGCGACATGGGTGTACGGCACCGCGGGCGGGCAGCCGCTGGCCTGGGCAGCTGGCCGCGACGTTGACGTCAGGTTATCGGACCTTCCGACGCCGCCGAGCACGGCGGCGCCAAGAAATCGACTGCCGTGGTCGCCGCTAGCGACCCTGTTCGCGCCGCTGCCGCCGCCGCCGCCGCCGCCGCCGTGCTTCTTGCGCACTCGGGCGCTGTGGGGGCTCCGGGACGACACACAAAGCGGTGCGCGATGCTGCTGTCGGAGATGCTGCTGGTGCTGGTGCTGCGGGTGCTGCAGGCTGCGGCTACGATGCAGTGTACGACTGCCGCTGGCGCCACCAGCTCCGGCGGCGGCGGTAACAGGGGTGGTGGAGGCACATGAAGCGTCGCCCGCAGCGCCGCCGCCGTGGTCCGCAGCCATATCCGTACCCGTCGTGTCGGCCCCGATGGCACCAGTGCCGCCGCCGCCGCCGTCGCCGCCGCTGCAGCACAGTGCCATGCTCTCGTCTAGCAGGCGTGCGGACGCCGCCAACAGCGACGACATTGAGGGCGGAGAGAATTGCGGCGAGGGCCCTTGTACGGATATCCCCCCCTGTAGCGTCGCCGTCGTCCCTCCGCTGCCACCCCAATTCCAGGCAGTTAGCTTTTCAGTCTGTTGCTGCTGCTGCATGTACGGCTGGTGAAACATGTGTAGCAGCTGCTCTGGTTGTTGAGCTAAGCCGTACTCCCGTGTTTGCGGCTCCTGCAGCTGCTCCGCGGATGGCAGCGACGACAGCGGCGGCGGCGGCGGCGGCGGCGGCGGCGGTGGCGGTGTTGACATCTCCGGCAGGCATGTCGGCTGTAGCAAGTCTAACCGGACCTCACTCACATTCTGTCCGTACAAGCTCTCACTGCCGTACACCACTGCGCGTGGCAGCGGTGGCGCCGGCAGCGATAGACCTTCTTGCGTCGCGACCTGAACCCCGCCGTCGCCGTCGCCGTCGTGTCGTACTAACAGATCCTCAACCTGTTTGCATATCAGCTCACTCCCCCCCTCTGATACTTCTCTAGACCTAGAAGACGTCGCATTACTTGCTGCTACTGCTGCTACTGCTGCTACTGCTGCTGCTGCTGCTGCTGTTGGCGGCCCTGGCGGCACTGGCGCTGCTTCTGGAAGCGAAGTTAGCGACACGTCCAGGAACTGCCGGAGGACCGACTGTGAATTGTACGACGGTTGCGTCAGATGCGACGGTGCAGCCGCCGCCGCCGCCACAGAGATGCATTCCGACGGATGCATGGCGTGTGTACGGCGACGGCTCGACGTCACTCCCTTCCTCGGCGATGACGACGCTGCGGGGAGCTGGAGAACGCGCTTCGGCGATGGTGACGGCGGCGACGGCGGCTTCAGTGTAGTGGCGGCGCCGCCGCCGGGCGCGGCGGCGGCGGCGGCATCCACAGCGGCGGCGGCGGCGGCGGCGGCGATGCGCTCGTCGAGGTCATCAGGGGCCCTCTGGACTTGGTCCGTTGGGGGGGAACCGTTACATATGCTGCGAACCGTTATGATCAAGGCCCGTTTCGACATGCCGCGCAGGCGCTGAAAAGAGGGGGTGGAAAAAGGTAGAAAGGAGAGGGAGGGTTTTTCCGTTAACCGTTTACCATTGCCGGTACGCAGTAAAACTCATATTTAACTCTACCTACAACTCCGGAACGGTTACATGACATGTAAAAGATATTTCCTATATATAAAGGAAAAAAACTGTTTTTGTTTCTGGGCTCCAAAGCTGAGCTGTGCAGGTGGGGCATGACAGCCGCATGACCGCCGTCACGTTGCCGCCACTTTTTGCCCCGCATCTCCTAACTCAACAGAGAAGAACGCACGTTTCCTAAACAGGCTAGTCAGTCAAAAATGAATCCCCCCAGGTGTAGACTTTTTGGATAACGCCGGAGTCAACCACGGATTGTTTTTTTGTATAATATTATTATCGATCTACCTCCCCTCCCCCAGTCACGCGCATAATATCACTGGGAGGAGGAGGAAACCCGACGGATAAGTACCCCCAGATCTACCCCCCCCCGGCAGTCACACGCCGACGGCCCCACCTGCAGCAGCGGGTCATCCTGGTACGTCGCAAGCGGGAAGTTCAGCTCGGCAGCATCTCCCCGCATACAGAGCGCCGCCAGGTCGTACGCCCTGTCGTACAGACGCGGCATCGTTAGGTGACGCGATTAGGGGTGTGAAGCGTGGAGTGAAGCGGGTTAGGGTTTTTTGATGTGTGTGCGCGAGGCGGGGTAAGAGAGGGAGCTGGGAGGGGGGTGCGAGGGAAGAAAGACGAACCACGAACGAGTGAAGTCGAGTGGGGACCGGGGGAAAAGACGGGGGGGGAGAAGTCCGGAATGCGTGAGAACGCGGGAAATGAAGTGTCGTACATTGGCCAGAAGGTCCGAGAAACTGCTGGCGGGAGCACAAATGACGTCATCAACCCCATTCATTACTTCAGGGGGGGAAAAGAGGAAGAGGGGCCTCGATGATGCCCGAAGCAGCGACCTAACTTGCCCCTAGTCCTCAGGGTTCTTCACCAGGGTACCCAAAAATTTCGGTCGTGTCCGAAACCCTCTAAATAACCTTTCGGGGCCCTTCCCGAAAGTTTTCCCGTCAGCCTGACAGTTTTTCGGGCACCCCGAAACTGTCTGAAGCGGTTTTCGGAGTAAAATTCAGCTGGTTTCTTTCTATCGTAATATGCTAGGACGGCTGAAGTAACAAGTGTTTGACTTTGGGAACATGGCGCCTGGGAGCAATCGTTCAGGCGGGGATTTTACCCAAAGCCAAGGAGGCGCCGCTCCTCATCCACCTATGCAGCAATTGCCTCCGCCACACCTCCCACATCATCATCGTCCGTCTCCTCAGACGGGTACACCTCGTCACTTGCCACATTCTCGACCTCCTCGTTATCAGAAGGATAATAGGCCTCTGCAATTTCACTGCCCACACTGCCCTCATCATCACTCTCATCAGGCAGAACACAGTCGCCCACCTTGGCAATATGGTGCAGGAGCCCAACCGCGCCCGAAAACATGTAAATTAAAGCTGAAATATCGTTCGGTTTTCTCCGAAAATGCCTTCGGAAGGCTTCGGTGGGCCCCCCGAAGAAATGCTTCAAAAGGCTCAAAATCCGTTCGATGCTCCGGTTCGCACTAATTTTCCTTTCGGGCAAAACGGAAAAATCTCAAAAATGTTCGGGCCCGAATCGGGGTGAAGAACCCTGCTAGTCCTGCCTAACTTACCCCCCTGTTCGAGCCGCTACACGGGAAAAGGCGCGTCACAAAGGGCAAAAAGTGAGTGCAGTGCCACGACCCAGCCCGGTGCAGGAAATTCGGGGGAATGAACACGAAACACAACGCGTAAATCGATTGGGAAGGCAGTATTTTGTCGTACATATGCCGTACATCTGCACATTGAAAAACACAATTACACAAAACGTGAAATCATGAATAAATGTATTATGATACATTATTCATATTACTAAGGACCACGAGGGAAGATATGGGCACAGCAGGGCGCCGTACATTTATGCCGTACATTAACGTGACGTGATGCGACATGTATTACGTCAGGTGGAAATTGTGGTAAACGTGTTGTCGTCGTACCTTGCAGCTTGACCGGCGGTTAAGAAAGAGCCCAAATGCAGCTGACGGCCCTTGCCCGTACCGCTGCTATCCCCGCTATCCCAAATGTGGGCCTCCCAGCGGCCCGTACGCTTGTACTTCACATTAAGTCGTACACATGTACAGCAGGGGAACCAAAGCTGGCGTCAGGTCGCAGCAGTTTGAGGAAAGCTCGGATCAAATCCACCAGAAGTGCACATCATATGGAATTAATATAAATTAGTTTATTAATTATAAATAAAAAGCTTTAAAACCGCCAGTTAAACTCGACAATGTATTTATGTGCCCTTTGGCTCCGTTTGTTTGCTTTTTACATCACACCACCTTGGTAGCCCGCTGAAATAATAATAAACCAAAACAACGATAATAACAACAACAGAACAAAATGGGGGCAGGCAGAAGAGATGGCGACTCCAGCAGCGGAGGAGGACGCGGAGAGCCTGATTAGGCAACTGGACCTGGCTGTGACTTCCTCCGCCCTCTCTCCTCATGTGCCGTTACGTCCGTGGACAGATCTCCTCCTCGCTCGCATACCCCTAGCTGTCAAGAAGTACGTCTTGGCACATGGTATGCCGTACATGGTACACGGTATGCCGTACAAAATATTTCCCGTACAGGAACAAATATCGGTTCTCGCGGAACGTTGATACGGCACGAAAAGAGAGCAGGTGATGTCGTACCTGCGACACGCCGATGTACGGGCTGCTGCGGCTCTTAGGCCCCGAGCGGCCCTTGCGGCGTGAAGACTGCGGCGAAGCATCACGTACGGCAAGATCGGCCGCCGTCGGCTCCGTGGCCTCAGCGCTGCCGACGCCGACGGGACCGAAGACGTCTGCCGTACACGGAGTCGTGTCGCCGCCTGCCGCTGTGGCAGCGACGGCGGGAGGTGCTACTGCTGCTACTAACGCCTGCTGCTGCATCGTACAGTCCGCGTCACTGCTGCTGCAATGACCCACGGGTCCGCCGCTGCCGCGACTTCCCGCGGGGCCTTCCAAGCCGGCGCCACCGCCGAAGCCGTATTCCTGACCGCCGTCACTCGGCGGCCGGGGATACCAACCGCTGCGGCTTGACGGCGGCGGCGGCGCTGCCGCCGTCACCACCTGCCCGTACTCTCCGCCGTTGCACCCACCATAACCGCTACCACCGCTACACCCAAGCTGATGCCCAAAATTGTAATGTACGGCGCAGCCGGGCTCTCCAGAGGACGACAAAGGCCCCATCACCGCCGCCATCGTCGCCTGTTGCTGTCCCTGCTGTGAATCGGCCAGGATTGGCGGCGGCGGCGGCGGCGGCATCGGCGGCGGCGGCAATGCGTGCTGGGTTTCACCATTGTGGGAGGA